CCTCTTAGAACCTCTTAGACTAGAACTAGAACTTCTTTGAACAAACTTATTATGTGGTTTTCATCCTGCTGTTAATTGCACACCTTTTCTAACTGTCTCCTATTATGTTGCATTTGTATGTACAGCTACAGTAAACATACACATTTCTGCATGCTTTGTATTTACCCTACTCACTTTCACATGTCTAATATCTCCTTCAAGCTGAGTTCTTATGGTATTTGTGCATTAACCAAGACATCAGGATTCAAGAACCACCCAAAACCGGCTGACCAATTATGTTTCTGTATTAAATTGTGAGGATGCAAGAGCTGCCAAGCCTACAGGCAATCTGAAATCAAACTGGGGTGGATGGCGGTGCGCTGGCGCTGCCTGTCCTCCGGAGGGGGGGATTGACTTTCCCGGGCACCCCCTTTGGTACTCTCGGTTTTTATTACACTTGAGAACAATATGCAACAACACAACATTTGAGCGGGCCCGGAGCCTGAGGCCTGCAGGAAGAGCGACCCGCCTGACTCTGAGCCTGGGACTGAGCCTGGGTGGCCTGCCAGGGCTGTCATTTCATGGGGAGTGGATGGAGGGGCAAATGGGGTATTGAGGGGGAGGTAGTGGCCAGGTGAATTATGTAGCGGGGGCATCTGGTTGGTTGGTCTGTGTGGGACATATGGGCTTGTTCCCGGGGGAGCTTTTACTGAAGGTCGTCTGGTACGGGTGGCCGGTCCTGAAGCAGGAACTAGATGGGTTGGCGGTGACACCGCCCCCCCCCCCCATCCCAATTGCAGGTTCCCTCCGGTAATCGCGGGACTGGCCACCAGCACTGCCTGGGCCTCAGTCCTGGGATTATTGGATGTGAGTGAATGTGTGTCCATTAGTTATGTGTGAATGTGTGGCAAACTTTATATTGGCCAGTGGGAAAAAGGTAATAATAATAACTGCTAACGTTGGTAATGCTAAATATGCATCCTCTTAAAAAAAAAAAGAAAAACGGTTACGAAAAGGGCCCTAACTTCTATTTTCACCTAACATTGATTAACATAAAATTAAGATAAATTTCAGACAGACTATAGTAGTAACATACCAGATAATGACTCCTTCCATCGAGTAATAGATTAATCTTTTTTACAGTATAGTCTATATCTGTATATCTGTAATATCTGTAATTCAATAGTCTATATCAAAGTATTTCTTTACTATTCTAATTTGTGACTGTCCAAATATGTTGACATGCACACAGATGGCTTTATAAATGTGTCATGCTTCACAGTTTGGCTCATTCCTAACCAGGTTTTGCTGAGCACATAAGGAAAAAAAATAAAGTAGAAGTTTTAATTGAGAGAAAAATCAAATGAATAGTTTAGCAATTTTATGAAAGCCTGTTTGAAGAACAAATCTAGCAGTTCAGGGCCACATCTTCATTCAACTGCAGTGGTGTGTTTCATGTGAGGAGCAGGAAGGGAGGGGTTTGGGAAGCAGAGCAAGAGAAATGTTAAAGCAAGGGAAAATTAGATGAAACCTTTTGTACCCGTTTCCCCCGCTGAATTCTTTGATGGGTTCTCTGTTGCATAATGATATGCAAATATGACAAAATATGAAAGTGGTTCTGAGTGGGGGAGAAATCTTTCTACGGCACCACTGTCAGACTTTTGAAAAACCTTTCAAGCTGAATGAATTTGCCTCTTTAAAAATCCTCCTTCAGCCATGTCTTCCTCTTACTGTCTACCTGCTTTCTTCAACGTCATTTTCACCCAATTTGAGCTCTTTTCATCAGTCCTACACTGTAATACTTCGGTGCACCTTCTTCCACTCGTCCCCAAGGGCATCTAGAAGTCATTTTCCCAGAGAACCTGCACTGTTCAGAGCTCTTAAGTTAAAATCACCTTAAGATGCACTGCTAATGAGGTGTTTAGTATTATTAAGCACAAACTAAGTTAGAAAAAGTCTTAAAGGGGACAAATTCTGAACTCTGGAGGTCATCCTAATGCAACTTCTTTATCCATTAGGAAGCTTCTCAAAGCACGGCAACTACATGTGGGGTAAGCTGTCATTAAAAATGTATTCCTAAGGGCCAGAAATGGTAAATGTTAGTCAATCAACCTGAATAAACAAATAGATACATTTAAGATTTGCATTGATTCCTTGTTGTCAACTGATTCTTCAGACTTTTCATTTGTGAGAATACCAGAAAACCACAATCAGAAATGTTTAATATGCAACTGCAAATCACAAATCAACAGTACGGATTATTTCACTAGAACCATTCACAAATTTACAAGTATGAATTTACAACCCGGGCTGCAAGTGCCACAGTTTGCACCTTTGTTGCCTTGCAGCAAAAAAGGTCCTGGCTTTGATTCCTGGCCTTGGCGATTTCTGCATTGAGTGTCCATGTTCTTCTCGTGCTTGTGAAGGTTCTCTCCTGGTACACTGGCTTCCTCCCACAATCCAAAAACTTAAATGTTAGGTTAATTGGTATCTCTGAACTTGCTTAGGCGTGTGTTCATGGTGGTATGTCTCTCTGCTGCCCTGCAACAGAGTGACGACCTTTCCAGGGTGTACCCCGCCGTACGCCACAGCATAACCTCCATTTCTCCAGGAGCCATACACCGCTGAAGATATGCACTAACCCCAACAAGACTCTGAGGACAGATCTTCAGAGTTTTTGATAAATTTAATCTGAAAATGTAACTGAAAAAAATAATAAAAAATGAAATAACTTGAAAAAATAGATTCTAAGAAAACAGTAATGTTACTCTTAATACCCATTTCTGATTGAGAAGCTTCTCAAAACTCCTTAATTGCATTTTTTTTCAAAATTCAATGTAAATGATTATTTAATTCAGAGGTATTGAAGCAAAAATATCTGAGAGGTGCAGAACACCGGCCCTTGAGCACTACAGTTTGACAGTTCTGCTCTACATGTAATTTGAATTGGGCAACAGAATGGCCAGATAGCTGCCTTACCTTCACAATCAGTTTTTTTTATTTTATTTTTTATTTCTGGTCATTAAATATACAAATATATATATATATATATATATAAACACTTCCTGTTTAGCTGAGTGATGCACCGCTCTCAGATATGAAGCAAAAGTGGAGACATTGAGTGCATTTTCAGACCCCGCAAGGAATTTTGTATTTCTTTTTTTTTTTCAAAGAAGGAACTGGCAACAAATATAGTGACTTTTTCTGTGTTATAAGACTTTGAAAACAATAGTTGAATTAGTTTCTGGTCTTCAGCCATTAGTGAGAGCTGCTAAAATCCCAATCCACCAGTAGTTAGAGCAGAGAGGAGGTCAACCTTGATCTGACAATGAGTCACCATGTGCAAAACATTCGTTGTTCCCCTGTAGAATACAAAGGGGATGCTAATTTTATCTTTATATATATATATACAGTATATATATATATATATATATA